GGGAAGGAATGCATTTATGCATGTGCTGCCCTGTCTATTGTGTTAACCATGCACAACTAGCTAACACAACAGACTTCTGAGAGAAGCCTGAGACCACAAATTGAAATCACCCAAGCAGGTTTATTGCCAAATGACACAGACTAATAGTTGTCAGTGAACAGACTCACCACTGCGCCACTACATTTATGTAAGCCGTGGTAATGGACTAACATCCATTAAGAGTCCTGGATATCCAGTGCCCCTTCATGGTCAGCCAGTGATCACCCTTTGGGCTTCACTTTTATACACAGGTACAAACAAGTTACATATCAATGACATATTAGGTTGCCACCCTCTGTTAGCTGGTTATCACCCCTTAACTGGCAGAAGGGGGTTTACTTACTATTCATCATGCTGTCAACTTTGACCCAGTCCTAAACATAGAACAGTATGTACTTCATTTGTGGGGATGTGGTTGGTACCAACATTTTTCTTAGCAAGGCATTCTGTTACAATCCCTCTGGATTGTGCTTTTAGCCTGTGCTTGGTACCTGTGCCTGATACCTTTTGGTGTTCTTTAAGCCAGGTCAAGCATATATTATTTCTCTTTAGCCAAGTCTATTTCCTGCCTGCAATTTCACTGAGCCAAATTCTTGTTCACTAGATTTCAGGCCTGTTGTTTTTATGTTACAGGCCTTTATTCAGGCCTGCTGACTTTATGTTACCAAGTCTCAACTTACTACATCAGGTGAGAGCCGTTTCCCCAAAGGCCAGTTCTTATCCCTTGTCTCACCTTTCAGTCCATTGTTTTCCTCCTGCAGATCCAGGCTGAGTTCACAAAGATTGCTGTTGGTGTGTGACAGTTGTTCAGTCCTTGGGGATCCCCTTGCTTTCTATAGTCTCCTCTAGTGTGATTTGGTTTCAGACAGTCTGTAATGACTTATTCATACCACCCCCACCAGTTACAAGATACAAACCATTCATATCTCCTCCTCTGCCCAGGACAGTATTTAGCCCTTCTATACTCATTGGATTGTAATCCTAAATCAATGTCACTTGCATGTGTATCATTCAGAAAAATAATATAGAAAATTCCCATTTGATCATGGGGGGGGGGGGACAGATTTGTTTATATTGATAATTTGGGGAAAGAGGAGGAACCCAATCACTGAGATGAAAAGATTTTGATCAGTTCTAGTGCTAAATGTTGATGTTATATCACTTTGTTAGTTCAGTTCCCAAGTACTGAAAGACCAGATAAAATTGAGTTTAGTTACTCTTTATTAACAGTGTACAAGTGTAGGAGCTTTATTTATAGAGAAGTAGTCACAGCTGATTAAGGTTCTTCTACAATAAAGTATTCCCAATACATGCTTAACATTAACCATTTCTTTAAGTGCTTTGCTTAGGTCCTAAATGCAAAAGTGAAGTCAAGCCATTTAAATTAGCAATAGAAAATAATTGCTTGCTTTTTTTAAGCCTTCAGGTGGCCACACAAAATAGAGAGGATTGGGGAAACCACTTCCATTCCCCTTCATAGGCAAAACAAAGGGACCAGGACCTGGCCAACAATCTTGGGGAGGGGGAGGCGGTAGGGAAAAAATGTTTATGGTAAAACCAGTTTATTCAGAGGACACATCCCATTGTCATTGCGATCTGTTTTTTCCTAACTCTGCACACACATGCCTCATTTGCATAGAAAATTTCTTTGTGCACCTACATAGTCATTTGCAAATACTTAATTTAGAAGCACAACTATCTGTTTATGAAATCATATTTGGGTATGTAAACATGTTCATATTTAGATTTGAAAAGCAGACTATTAATGAGCAAACTTGTTCCCAAAAGTAAGTAAAGTCTGTTGTCCCATAGGACGTCATTAGAAAAAGTAGCAAGTGTTTGCTTTTGTGCTGCTAAATGTTCACTTACAGTTGTGCAACAATGGCCAAAATCTGTGTGAATGTTGAATAAACAGCATATTTATACTGTTTTAACATTTCTGCACGTCAAATATTCTGTTTAAAACCAACTATTTTAATGCATAGTTCTTTCATAAATGATATTACATTAATATTTTAATTCAATGAAACGATAATTGCACTATTGGGAATAAAAATGTGTGATTAATGTTTAACTGGCTATTTTTTTCAAAAAGGCTACTAATGTGAAATAGTTTTCAGAAGTGTCAGGCTTAATGTATTGCCATTGCCATCAGAATTATACTGACAGCATAAAACAACTTGACAATGCAAAGGATGTCTAAAAATTCTTAAGGTACCTGTTGTGTTTCCAAGTTTAGAAAAGAGGAGACTGAGGGGGGATATGATAGAGGTCTATAAAATCATGAGTGGTGTGGAGAGGGCTGATAAAGAAAAGTTATTTATTAGTTCCCATAATAGAAGAACTAGAGGACACCAAATGAAATTAATGGGTAGCAGGTTTAAAACTAATAAAAGAAAGTTCTTCTTCACACAGCGTGTAGTCAACCTGTGGAACTCCTTGCCAGAGGAGGCTGTGAAGGCTAGGACTATAATAGAGTTTAAAGAGAAGCTGGATAAATTCATGGAGGTTAGGTCCATAAAAGGCTATTAGCCAGGGGATAAAATGGTGTCCTTGGCCGCTGTTTGTCAGAGGCTGGAGAGGGATGGCAGGAGACAAATCGCTTGATCATTGTCTTCGGTCCACCCTCTCTGGGACACCTGGTGCTGGCTACTGTTGGTAGACAGGATACTGGGCTAGATGGACCTTTGGTCTGACCCAGTACGGCCGTTCTTATGTTCTGTTCTTATGTTAAGATACTGCCAAACCTGTTTTAGCTTTGGGTATGAAATGTTCGTTCTTTTCCACACTAATTGCATCTTTTATTCCTTACACTCCGTAAGATAGGACAGTGAGCTGTCACTATATAATACATGAGATGCCCAAAATGCCCTTTTTGATTACAAATAATCCTAATTGTACACGTTTTCTTATAATTCCATTGGAGTTGTTTGATATAATATACCCATTAGCTTGTGTCCTCCTCTGTCCTGGAATTTAAATGCAGAGAGGATGTGTTGTCTATGTTTTAGATCAATGAATTTGGAAAAATCAGCAGACGAGGGTTCTGTGTTCCCAGCTCTGCGACTCACTTTCTGCATAAAGAGTATGAAGTCACAATTGCTGTATTCAAAGATAATTACTCCATTCAGGCTCACAAGAATCTCATAATGAAATTGAAAACCCAGCTGCAACTAGAGCTTGAAGTAGCAGAGGCCAGTTTACAAGGAAGGAACATTAGCTAGCTACCTTACTGGCTTGTGCCAAAATTCCTCCCTCCAGTACTCTATTTATTTTAAACTTGGCCATTCTCAAGAGAGGACACACAACATTACATAAGACATTCCAAACTTCTATTGTAAGCCTTAAGACCTGCAGTTCATGTTTTCTTTCCATTATCATCGTCAACATTTATTTTAGGAGGGGCAAATAAATAGAAAAACTTTATTAGGCAACTTCCCACTGTAGGATTTTTGTTTTTAGAATGATAGAAAAATCAGGTGGAGCAGCATTGACTCAAATGTGTTATTGTGCAGCAATGCTGATTGCAAAGTTGTGCAATTTTAATAGATCAACTGAGCCACTCAACAAAGCTAAGGAGATTTATAAAGAAGAAAATTAATGAATGAGGTACAGCTGTAGTTATTAAACATTTCAACTGTACTGTAAAGAGAGATGCCTAAAGCTTCCTATGAAATTCTACTATGAAAAAATCTTCCAATGAAATTCTAGGCATGGTGTAGAAATGTACTTATTCATTTCTAGTTCTTTGCTTTAATCTCCCTAGTATATCCTTGGTTTGTTGGCTCTGAGGAGTCTTCCCTCTTCTCTCTTCCTCCTTTCATGCTGAACATGGTAAGAACCAGCTATAAGTGAGGGAGCCCAAAAATCCATGAGAGATTAAGTACTCTTTTTAACCGAGAGAATTTGGCTCTTGTACTCTTCTTCTGCTTTGTGATCACTGTCATTTTGAACACCAACAATTTCTTGGATTACCTGTCAAATTTATAATAGAGGAAGAAGTCCAGATGCTAACCCTGGGCTATCAAATTAGAAATTCAAATTACAGGTGCAGACAATGATATTAAAAAGACAATATCTACCCTTTCAGCTATCTGCAGGATATTTGCTGTGGTTAAGGCCTGAATCTAAGCAGGCTGAGAGGCATGAGAATATGTTGTTTTTCAGCACGTCTCCAAATTAAGTTTTAACTGGAGAGTGGCAAGTGTTTTTAATGCTCCCCACTGTGTGGACAAGAACTTGGTTGGAATCCTAAACTGAGGCTATGTCTCCACAGCATGGATGCTCTTGCGCAAGAAAAGCTCTGATTGCCATTAACAGAATGGCCACCAAGGCACCTGTGCTTCTTTTGATAAGCTGTTTTTTGCACAAGAAACCTGTTTGCAGTCCACACACACCTTTCTGTGCAAGAGGTCTTGCGCAGAAAGGCTTATTCCTTGTAGAAAGAAGAATAACTCTTGTGCAAAAAGCCCTCTCTTCTTCCGATTTACTGTAAATTTACGTGTGCAAAAACACACTTGTAGTGTGGACTCTCCGTGAATTTTTGTGCAAAAACAGCTGTTTTTTGCAAAAGCTGTGCAATGTAGACATAGCCTGAATTAGAATATAGTGGTTGTATCTTTATTATGAGTTTTAAGGTTTGGGTTCAAGTTAAATATCTGAGCAATCCATGGGTACTTCTAAAATATTTGCAGAGGAAGAACTGCTTTTACTACATTTTTGTTGTGATTTAAAAAAACTAAATGCAGAGCTGCATGAGACAGAGGAATGTAACATAATAATGATGCTCTTACAAATGCCAGTGTGACAGAGGAAGATATGCAAGCCAGTTAAAACCAGGACGAAAATTCTAATAAATCCTGAACAGCTACTTCAGAAGAAGTTATTTTCATGTATATTAAAATGTTCATAACATCAGTGGACAGTTAAATTAATACTCTTTCCTTTTCTTCCACTCTTAGTTAACACTGCCAACATTTCCTGTTGTCGTGAAGATTGGACATGCTCATTCAGGCATGGGAAAGGTGCAGGTGCTATTTATACATAAATATACTAGGGGATTTCTGGTGCTAGTCTACATTTTAATTGTGTACTGTAAATATTAAAATATATAAACTTCTTCCTAGTAGGGGTTGAAACTTGTGAACTGGTCAAATTCCAGCTCAGGATCCTGATTCTGCAAGCCCTTACTTGGGTCCCTATTCAGGACAGTATTTAAGCATATGCTTACATCCCCAAATGGTTTAAATTCAGTCCTTGACTTCAGCACATGCTCAGCTGCTTTCCTGAAGTAGGGCCTTTTGTGATAATTTTGTTGACTATTTTGTTGACTGCAGCAGAACTACTTGAAAAGCCAGGCTTATAGAAACAAATAAAGATTTGCAGGTCTGAGAATCTAGTAAATAAATTCTCCTACAGCTTCCTAAATTCTCACAATTGAATACAGTATTTTTCTTCATTTCCTAGAAATACAGCACACTTACTGCATTCAATCCCAGTGATAATCTAGAGCATTTTACTGTTGGGTGAAGCAATTTCTGTATCACTTAGATCTGATGATGGTGGTATCAGTATATGTCTCAATTATGCTTCCACTGATGTCAGCTGGTGCAGGTACTGTATTGATGAACTTTTTCAGAGAAACTTTTTAAGAGATCTTCAGATGAAAAAGAATTGAACAAGGGCAATCTTCAAATGATACTTATGCCCTTCGATTTCCAAAAAGTCTATGAATGAACATTCTGAACAGCTCTGAACCTCCTGTATACAACAAAGCTAACCTACTACAAAAATTATGGAAACCAAGAGAAGTAATACATGACATTACAATTACTTAAACATCCTTACCAGTGGATTAGCTTAAGCAACTAAGCTCTTTTTCTTAAGAGTTCTATAAATATACTTAAATTAAAAACAAAAACCAGAAAACTTGATCTTATCCACATTATTACTTTGCCACTCTGGTTTTTCTTACTTTATTGATTTGTGCAAAGTTTATGAACTTGGCTTTCTATGAGGTTTTTTTAAATCGTAGTCACTCCATTATTCATCTTCTCTCCCACATACATTGGTTCTTAAATGAGATTAAGCCTATTTCCATATATTCATAATTTCTACTATAGCGGCCATATACTGTTCTCAAATATATGCCTGCAACTCCTACTTGTATTCACACTATAACATTTTTTCAAAATTTGGCATTAGTACAATGTATTTATTTATAAAATTGCTAGAAAAGGAATTAAGAAAATTCTCCTCTTGATTCTTTTTCAAAAATTTTCTCAAGATCTGCTATAGGGGAAAGTAAATGGTAATAATTGCTGTATAGTGGAATCAGTTTAAACTATAGACAGAAATAGCAAATGGGAAAGATTTTACACATTTAGTTAAATTATAATCATTTTACTCTAATCTGTTTTTTAAATCAGAATTTAATGAAAAGGCATTTTATTTATACTTGAAAATTCAGCCTAGTGTAAAAAGTGTAATTCTTGTAGAAATCTCTGGACCAAATATTCATTGTTGAAGTGCAAAGTACATATTATCTGCATCCCATAATAGTTGTCAAGAGGGAAGTGTTACCTGTGTTTGTGAACTCTTAGGGTGTGTCTACACTTTCTCCCTTGTTCGAACTAGGGATGCAAATGTAGCCAACCGAAATTGCTAATGAAGTAGGGATTTAAACATCCCATGCTTCATTAGCATAATCTCACCCGCATGCTATTCCACTCGTCAGCTGATTCGAAGCAGGAAGTGTGCTCCAGTTAGTTCGAATCAAACCCCTTGGTTCAAGCTAACATTACTCCTCAAAAAATGAGTAACATTAGTTCGAACCAAGGGGTTTGATTCGAACTAACGCGTCCCGGAGTGCACTTCCAGGTTCGAATCAGCTGGCGAGCGGAATAGCGTGTGGGTGAGATTATGCTAATAAAGCACAGGCTAGTTAAATTCCCACTTCATTAGCAATTTTGGTCTGCTTAGAAAGTACACCACTTACTGCAGGCATATTTTTGGCATATTCTAATTTTCATAGCTACAACTTTTCTCCAGATAAAATAAATTGTCCATTCTTTATTTTGTAAGCTGGTAGTATAAAATTAATATTTCTCACAAGTCATTTGTAATTGCATTTTACAGTAAGTTGTTCTTGTTGTTTTTCTCTTCCATATGCTGCTTGTGTTATGACAACAGGTTAAAGTAGACAACCACTATGATTTTCAGGACATAGCCAGCGTGGTAGCACTGACCCAGACCTACGCCACCACTGAACCCTTCATAGATTCCAAATATGACATCAGGATCCAAAAGATAGGCAGCAACTACAAAGCATACATGTAAGCCAAAAGTTATATATATATTTTTTTTCATTTACCAAGCAGCACTAAAACTCACTTGGTTGAAATCTAATGTCTCTTTTTAAATAGTCCTCTGTAGTCAGCACTTTGGGGAAAAGGTATTTTATACTTTTTTAAGTTTGTTGATGGATATTTCAATTTAAAAAGCTTTTTAAAACATCTCAGATGTCTATTGTTTATATTAGTGCATTTTGTTGAATTCTGTTACAGAAATAATTATTTTTGGAGGAGGGAGTGGGAAGGGAAGAATTAAACTCCCCCGTGGGGCAACCCTTTCATAGCAATTTTTCAGAATAGTTTCAGGGAACCAACCACAATAAATGGAATCTAAGGGTATATCTATACAGCCAAACTGCTATTTTGAAATTAAATCGAAATAGCAGAGGGCTTATTTCGAATTTAGTAAACCTCATCCCACGAGGAATAACACCAAATTTGAAATGGCTAAATCGAAATAAGTGCTGTGTAGGTGCTTATTTTGAAATCGGGGGCCTCCAGCCCTTCCCAGGGTGCCCTGGTGGCCACTCTGGGCCAAACCAGGAAAACTCTTCTGCTCCCCACCAGCCCCGGAGCCCTTAAAGGGGTAGACTCTGGCCACAGTGCCTGTGCCAGCTGCAAGCCTGCCAGCGCAGAGCCAGCAGTCACTGTCCCTGGCCCAGCATAAGACAGCAAGCCACTGGCACCCAGCCCTCCTCCGCTCCCCCATAGGACCAGTCTTCCAGCTCCCAGGAGCTAGAAAATGTGGGTGCCTGCCTGGTCCAGTGCAGAGATCAGGGACCTAATTCAGGTTTTGGGGGGATGCCTCCAACATCCATGATGTCCACACTAAACAGAGGAATGCAACCATTTACAGGTGGATGGCTGACAGCCTGGCCACCAAAGGCCACATGCGCACCCAGGAGCAGGTGCACATGAAAATCAAAGAGCTGTGGCAGGCCTATGCTAGGGCCACAGGGGGCATCTCCCAACCAGGGGCTGACCCAGACTGCTACCCCTATTATGATGCCCTGAACCACATCCTGGGGGTCAGACAGTCCGTGCCCCTCAGCTGGTCATCGACCCTGGGGCAGAGAGCTCTGAGCAGGGCACGGAGGAGGAGGACAATGGCCAGGAGTCACAGGAGCCCGGAGGGCACGTGGCACTCACCCAGGACCCCCGAGGAGTCACAGCAGCCATGTCACCGGTGTCATCCGAGGCCAAGCGCCCACAGGGAGCCATATCAGCAAGCTGTTGCCGGTGTCATCCGAGGCCAGGGAGGCTTTGACATGCGAGTGCCATCACTGTCCCCTTATGCGGAGGTGAGGTGGGGTGGGGTGGGGGGGAGTAGAGAGAGACCAGGGACCACGCGTGTGGGCCTTGTGGACCATGGAGCATGCAGCACCCTGTGCATGTGCCGTGCCACCCGGGGCATGTGGCCCCGGCTGGCTGCCACACAGGGGCCCTGGCCTGTTACATGCGTGTGGGTATGTATGAAGGCACATGACATGCTCCTGACCCTGGGGAGGGACACTGCATGATGCCCTCCCTCCACAAGCCTCTTCTACGCAGAGGCAGGGCACAGCTCCCCTCCCCCCGCACATCCACGCTATATACAGCACAGGGGCATGTGTGCAGTCCTGGGCCAGCTCACGCTCCCGGGGATAGCAGGACATAGCAAACATGGCCTATGTGCAAGCACATTGGCTCTGATGCAGAGACCTGCCGTCCTCGCTTTGCAGAGGGGGGCTGGGCTTCACGCACTGTGTCCCCAGGATAACTGACCACTTCTCTTGTTTCCAACCTGCTCAGGGCAGTCAGCAGGCTGACCCAGAACCAGGAGGAGTACCAGCGGCAGCACCTGGGGCTCCTGAGAAGGCAGGCCCACATCCTGGAGCATTGGGTGCGTGAACACCTGCATCTGAGGCCGGAGAGCTGGCGGGAGCTGCTTGCTGAGGGCTGTGCCATCTGCAACCACCTGCAGACCCTGGTGCAGAGATTGTGTCCTCCCGCTCCAACCCCTGCTGCCGACCCATCTATCGCTCCTCCTCCCGCTCCTGCTCCCCTTCCCGCCTCTTCCTTCTCCCCTCCTCCCCACCCCACTCTCCATACCCACTCCCTCCCCGGGGACGCTGAGGCCCCCGCACCCACAGTGCTGGGGAAACAGGTGGACCATCAAGACCCCCAACCCTGAGCTTCTCCCCCCCTTCCTCTCCTTGCCTTCCCCTTCCAACTTCCTCCTCCCATGTTTACCCCGCCTCTCTCCCACCCTCTCACCTCCCCCCACCCTAGTTATGTTCAATAAACAGAGTTTGTTTTTGGCAACACACGTGGTTTTATTTCACATCAGGAGGGAAAAGTGGAAGGACATGAGGGTGGAATAAGGCACAAGGCTCTGGTGGGGCATGCCCCGGAAGCTTCACTCCTCCTCCATCTGGAATCTCTCCCACAGGGCCTCCCGGATACCGACAGCCCCCAGCTGGGCCTCCTGCATGCCACCACCACATGCGGAATAGTCCTCTTGGAGAGGTCCAGGTGGGTGAGGAGGCATCTAAAATGGGCCTTCACCTGGCCGAAGGCACCTTCCACCACGATGCAGGCCCTGCTGAGCCTGGCATTAAAGGGCTGCCGGGAGGGGTTGAGGTGGCCTGTGTAGGGCTTCATGAGCCAGGGCTGTAGTGGGTAGGCTGCGTCCCCCACCAGGCACACAGGCATGTCCATGTCCCCGACCCTGATGTGGTGGTTGGGGAAGAAAGTCCCAGTGTACAGCCTCCAGCACACAGAGGAGTTGCTGTAAACCCGCATGTCGTGTGCTTTGCTGGACGTTAATGTCCAGGAAGCAGCCCCAGTGGTCAGACACAGCCTGCAGGATGACCAAGAAATATCCCTTCTGGTCTATGAACAGGAAGGCCTGGTGGTCTGGGGCACAGATAGGGGTGTGCATCCCGTCGATTGCCCCTCTGCAGTTGGGGAAGCCGAGGGCACCAAAGCCCACGATGTTCGCGTCCACATCGATGACATGGATGACTCTGCAGAGTAGCACTCTATTGATGGCCTTGACCACCTGCAGAGGGACACACAAAACCAAGAGTCACTGGGGTGCCAGGGTAGCTGACAGTGCTCCTTCCCCGCAGCTGCCCTGCACCCTCTCCCCAGGATTTTTTTCTCCCCTACGCTTTGTAGATGTGCATAAGCAAGGGACCATCCTGTTCTCTAGTTTAATTGGTGGTCTGTAGCAGACACGACCTAATACTCTCTTGTGCTTTATCTATTAGGACATTTGAATACTTACAGATCAGATCATTTTCTTCAGTGACTTGGAAACAGATAATAGCATTTTTGACAGAGAGTGTTCCCCAGCCCACGATCCTTCCTCAGTAGGTTATTACCATTGATTTTAACATTCCAGTGGTGTGAATTCCTTTCAGTGAAGCCAGAAAGACGTCAGATTTGCATGGTGCCCAGGGAACTTTGGGATTACATCGAGTCTCATCTAGAGCTGCTGCTGCTGCTGCTTCTCCTCATCGCCCAGTAGGGTCCGGAAGAGGGCCTGGGGGTTGGGCTGCAGCAGTTGCTGTGAGGCAGACTCCAGCAATTGCTGCCAGGCTTGCAGCAAGACATCCAAAAGGAGCACCAGAGTGCCCAGGGGCAGCTCTGGCTCCAAGGTGCCGAGTGCTGTGGTGTTCCGAGTCAGGGCAACCAAAGCAGACAGAGACAAAAATGCTTTGCTGTCCCGCAGCGAGGTAGACAAGCAACACCAGAGTGCCTAGGGGCAGCTCTGGCTCCAAGGTGCCGAGTGCTGTGGTGTTCCGAGTCAGGGCAACCAATGCAGAGAAAAAAATGCAGGCTTTGCTATCCCTCAGTGAGGTAGGCAAGCAAACAGGGAAAGCTGAGAACCGGCTGCCGGGGGGGCGGTCCCTTTAAGCACAAGCCTCAGATAGCCTCAGGCAGCAGCCACACAAAGCAACTACTGACCTGATGCTCTGCTGGAACCAGTTTCAGCTGGCCTTAAATGTGATTCAGTGTCCAATCAGTGTGGACGCGCTATTTTAAAATAGCAAAACGCTATTTCAAAATGCATTTTGTGTATAGATGCGTTATTTTGAAATATCTTATTTTGAATTAACTATTTGGAAATAATGCTGTAGTGTAGACATACCTTAATTGTTTATAGGTGACTTTTTAAATACCTTCAGCAACATGACACAGTTTTCTTACTAAAAGCCTTTGAGACAACTTTTGCAAGGCAGCCTCCACCCATTGCTGGCAGGCTTGCAGCAGCAAGTCCAAAAACAGGAGCAGCATGCCCAGGGTGAGCTCTGGCTCCATGGTGCCAACTGCGGCAGCGGCCCCAATGGGAAGCACCAATATAAGGAGGCGGAGAAAAAATGCTGTGCTATCCCTTGGTGAGGTAGGCAAGCAAGCAGAAAAGCTGAGAACCGGCTGTCCAGGGGTGTCCCTTTAAGCACGAGCCTCAGATAACCTCAGACAGCAGCCACACAAAGCAACTACTGACCTGATGCCCTGCCAGAACTGGTTTCAGCTGCCCTTAAATGCGACCAATTAGCAAAACATTAATTCGAATTAGTTTTTGGGTGCAGATGCATTAATTCAAATTAGCTTAGTTCGAATAAACTAATTCAAATTAAGTTAGTTCGAATTAGTGCTGTAGTGTAGACATACCTCTAGATTCTTATGAAGAAATATTTATCTATTGTTAAATACTCTACAGCAGCATGAAAAACAGGAGATTTACCAAATCACTGTACAATATCTCATATGCATTTACAAGTTTTATCAATAGTAACTTCTTCTATAGCTGGTGCTCATTTTTTGCTATGGCACAGGAACAGAGCATGTAAAGACTCACCATAGAAAAATCAGCAAAATGGATTTTTATGAAGAACTTCTGTGTAATAATTCTGTGGGAAATTATGATATAAACTGGATCCATGACTCACCAAAAAAGGGGGACATTTAACATCTGTCAGTGATGATTATATCCAGAATGCAATGTTGGATCATTCCAAATACTGCAGCTTCTCAAAAGGTTTCATGACACACATTTAACTATACTATAGGATTTGTTACAGCAGACTTCAAGGAAATACAGTGAAAAAGGGTGTTGCACAGGGGTGAGCAAAAGGGCCTCTGTGCCAGGCAGACTGATCCGGCCCATGGAGGCCCTACCGCTCCCTTGCCCCTAGGCCAATTAGGGCCTGGGAGCGGGGGAGCGCCCAAAGCTTCTTCCCACCCTGTGAACAGCACGCAGCGCTTTGAAGCGCCGCACACTTCTCGCAGGGTGGGAGGAGACATCGTGAGCTCCCCCACCCCCAAGCCCTGATTGGCCTGGGGGCAGGAGGAGCGCGTGAAGTTTCCTCCACCCTCCCACCAGCCCTGTGAGGAGCGCACAGCACTTCAAAGTGCCGTACGCTCATGCAGGGCAGGGGCAGGGCGAAGGAAGCTTCATGCAGCTCCCCCACCCCCAGGCCAATCAAGACTTTGAAGTGCCGTGTGCTCCTCTTCATGTGTTCCCCCCAGGCCAATCTGGGCCTGTGGGCGGGGGAGTGTGTGAAACCTCTTCCCGCCCTGCCAGGGGCATGGGTGCCTAGTGGGAAAGGGGGGGCAAAGTGGCATTCTGGCCCCGCCCCTTCTGGATTAGGCCCCGCCCCTTCCAACCTGGCCCCCAGGCAAAAATTATTCCCTACCCCTGGTGTAGTACAGTGAAAACCTACAAATACGTACAAAAGTACCAACGGATCTTTAAACCATACCCTTTCTTTCCAAAAGCAACACACATTGAATCTATAACTTTCTGAATTGTGATCAAAAGAACAACACAACAAATGTGTAGTGTTCACGTCAATCTAAAGTAATAACCTGCACTATACCACATGTGCAAACACCACATCAGCGTTGAAAGTACAGTGTATGGTAGTTCATGCATCTCTTCATGGACAGAATAGCCATTCAAGTTTTTTCTTCATCAAACAGGAGGCGGATAAAAGCTTTTTAAACTTGAGCTAGGATAGTGTTATATTAATCTCAAATTCTTTGTTCTTTTAAGATTTTGCTTCTTTTAAAACCTCACAAAGATGTATCTAAGCTGAAAATACACGATAGACACTAGCACAGTGATTTTCAAAGTATGGATCGTAACCCAGTACTGTTGCAGAAAGTTGCAGGAAGTCAGGCATTGAGTCACCTTCTGTAGGGTGACAAAGTGACCAGTGGGTAGCTAAGGACAGCTTCCTGCCAGTCCTGGCACTGTGGACTGCACAGTGCCCTGAAAGCGATCAGTAGCAGGTCTGGCTCCTAGGTGGAGGTGAGTAGCCAACTCTCACAAGATAAAAAAGCAAAACAAACCCAGAAACCTCTCCTGCACCTTAAACATCTCATCCCCAACCCCATCCCATAGCCTGCACCCCCTGCCTCAGCCCGGAGTCCCTGCCTACATACCGAACCCCTTTGCTCCAACCCACCCCCCAGCATGCAACCTAAACTCTCATCTTTGGCCCCATCCTAGAGCCCATACCCCCAGGCAAAGCCACCATCCCGCACTCTAAACATCCCTGTGGCCCACCCTGGAACCTGCATGCTAGTCAGAAGATATAATTATGCTTGGTCATGGGCAACAACAATTTTCTTCAACTTGGTCATGAGAAAAAAGTTTGAAAAATACTGCAGTAGTATAATGCACTCTAATGTGCTAGGACTTGCTTCCCTAATTAATACATAATTAGCACATCTGTTCATTCTGTGGATTGATCTCTCTTCCAAAGTTCATAACTAGATTTACAGAAAGTTGGAGACAAGCCTGTTGCCACTGTGTAATTCATTTCTCATAAATTACAGGTGTTGCTGATCTTTTGCCAATGGGAGAAAAAGAGCTCATAAATTAGACAGTTTGTATCTTTTGTCCATTTCTAATACAGTCTTTACATTTGCAAAATGCTTTCCTCTTTTCTATACTATTTACCATCACTGACGTTAAAAAACATGTTTTAAAAGGTAATACTAAAATCTAGTGAGGACAATAATGTAGTATTGACATGAAAAGAGAGATGGTAAACGGTAGTTTTTGTTTAGTGAGCTTGTAAGTGAGATCATTAGAAATAGAAGATAATTTAAATTAGAGAAGGGTCCAATATCAAGACCTGAACACAGCCCCAAATTTCGCAGGTAGAGTATATTTTGGTGAGGGTCAAAGAGTATGTCTACACTACAGTGTTAATTCGAGTTATCTTAATTTGAAATAATTAATTCAAATTAAGCTAATTTGAATTAACACACCTACACACAAAATGCAGTTTGAATTAGCATTTTGATCATTCGAAATACTGCATCCACACTGACTGGACACAGACTCAGATTTAAGGCCAGCCAGAACCTGGTCAGGCAGGGTATCAGGTCAGGAGTGTCTGTGTGTGGCTGTTGCCTGAGGCTATCTGAGGCTTGTGCTTAAAGACATACACACACACACACACCAGCCAGCCGGTTCTCAGGTGTCCATGCTTGCTTGCCTGCCTCGCTGCGGGACGCAAAGCATGTGTGTCTTGGAGTGCTTTGGTTGCCCTCACTCGTTACACTATAGCACTCTACAACATGGAGACAGAGCTGCCCCTGGGCACTCTGGTGCATCTCGTGGACGCGTTGACATCAGCCTGGCTGCACCTGATCTGAGACGTCCATCGAGGGGCTGTCAGTATCCAGGAAGCGCTGTGGGAGCGCTTCAACCTTGAGGAGCACTCAGAGCCTCCCTGATCTGCCCCACTGGGGGCTTGTGCCTCATTCCTCCCTCACTTCCTTCCACTTACCCCTTCCCCAACCCCGCTTCCTAATGTCAAATAAAATACATGTATTTTCATAAACGCAAACTCTCTTTATTTAACAAAACTGGGGGGGGGGGGGGGGAAGGGACGCTTCCTAATGTCAAATAAAATACATGTATTTTCATAAACGCAAACTCTCTTTAATTTAACAAAACTGGGGGGGGGGATGAAAGGAGGTGGGAGAGGGGAGGAGAAAGGGTGGAAGAGGAGAGGGGAAAACCTGGAAGGAGGGAGCTGGAAGGAGGAAGCAAGGGGAAGAAAGGGGAGGGGAAGCACAGGGCTCAAGGTTGGGGGTCTCACCGGACCACCTTGATTTTCATGTGAACCTGCTCCTGGGATTGCATGTGGCGTATGGTGGCCAGGCTGGCAGCTATCCTGCCATCGACGGACACATTCCTCCATCTAGTATGGAGATCATGGACATTGTGGGCATCCCCCCCCAAACCTGAGTAAGCTCCACCCTGATCTCTGCCCTTGACCAGGAAGGTGCCCGCCTTCTCCAGGCCCTGGCAGGCTCCTAGGAGCTAGCAGTCTGCTCCTGGGGAGCGGTGGAGAGCTGGCTGCCAGTGGTTTGGACTGGCTCATGGTTTGGTACCACTGGGTCAGGGGCAGTGACTGCTGGTTCTGGGCTGGCAGGCTTGGAGCTGAAACAGGCACTGTGGCCATAGTCTACCCCTTTAAGGGCTCCAGGGAGGGAGGGGGAGGGAGAGGACTGTTCTTGCTTGAGGCTGGAGTGGCCAACAGGACACCCTGGGAAGGCTGGAGGCCCCCTATTTCAAAATAAGTGTCTACACAGCACTTATTTCGAATTAGCTATTTTGAATTTGGTGTTATTCCTCGTAGAATGAGGTTTACCAAATTCGAATTAAGCACCCTGCTATTTCGAATTGAATTCGAAATAGTGGTTTGCCTGTGTAGACACTATTAAAGTTAATTTGAAATAACGGCTGTTATTTCGAATTAACTTTGATGTGTAGACATACCCAAACTGAAACAATGACACAACGGTTCTAAACCTTGGAGAGGTTCAAAATATGCATCTGCATATCACTGTTAGCACCTTAGTTCTATAATTGGCTAATATGAACATTTGGGATAGATTTGGCATCTGGACCTGAACCTTTCTTTGTCTCCTATGTTAAAGGTATCCTTTGTATAACTCATGTTATTTGCTATGCATTTAGAATTAGTTCACAATGTTGGTGTATCCATACTAGCCATTGCTAGCTGCAATTTCATAATAGTCTATTACTAATATCACCACTAAACAGTAACAGTTGTCACAACAGTTATGAAAGTGAACAGGTACCAAGGCATGAGAAATAAAAACTGCCATTGTCACACATAGAATGTATGCATGATGTTTTACTAAGACTTGTGCTATCAGTTGAATTTTTCACAGTGTAGCAGCAGAATGAGTGAAAACAGGCAGTCCTTGGTATCCTATTTCTCTGAAAATAAGAACAACTTAAGAAAGGTGGTGAAGATGACTGCTCAGTTTATTGACCATAAATGTAAGTGTGCTAAATCAGTTAATATTGTGTCTGTAATTTTTTTTCTCTCAGGAGGACTTCCATATCTGGAAACTGGAAGACAAACACTGGCTCTGCAATGTTGGAACAAATCGCAATGTCAGATAGGTAAATTCAGCTTCATGTGTGAACTACAGTAATTAGAAATTTAAGTAACTTTCATTTTAAATTATGTAAACATTCACGTGGCTGATACTAGGAAAATTAGTGCTAATGAAGGTCCCACCAGGACCAGCGGCAGATATAGGGCAGGGCAAGCGGGGCAGCTTCCCTGGGCCCCGCACTTCATTAGGCCCTGCGCACGCACCCTGCACACGCTACTTCTGGTTGGCTGCTGCCAAGACGCATGCGCGAAATGCTACTTTTGGTCGGCTGCTGCCAAGGCGCATGCGCAAAATTGTGCCTCCCCGGGCCCCACAGGGCACCCCTGGGCCCTGCAAAATTATCATCCGCCAGGACCAGAACTCCTTTTGAAAATTCATTGAATGAGATAATATGGCCAAGATTTTCCAAAGGGGTATCTTAAAGTTAAGCTCCTAAATCCTTATATCTATGTAATCACCAACAAGCCAGTCAGGATTTTATTGAGGCATTTTACCACCACAGCATTAGTCCATGAGTCATTTCTTCTGATGCATTTCTCCTCTTCTCCACAGCACTCTTTTCCTCTCCTGCAACCTTCCATATAGTTTCTTTAGATTGGGCTAACTGTCTTTTCCTGTGCAGCTAAACAGTGTGGTCTTAATCCAGCCACACAAAGCATTTTCTTCTTTGTAACCCTGTTGAATGGCCTATTCTTTACCTTTTGAGACCACTATATTACATTGAGCTACTTCTCAGCTGTGGGGATGTACTAAGGCCTTTCCTATGCATAACACCAGTCCCAGTGTATTGTTACAAGCTCACCACTGCTTTTTTCCCATGCTCAACAAATGGATATTCCCTCTTTCTTCCCTGCTATATTAGTTTGATCTTAGCTGTAGAACTCTGATATTACTCACTTTTGCATATTTCTCAGCTGTGCCTAGGCCTCTGTCCCCAGAACACAGAGCTCTGGAGCATTAATGCAGCTGTGAGATTTTTCTTCTTTCCACTTCTGTAACTGTTACCATTGTTTGAAGTTTTACCATCTGTGCAGTAAAAATGTCCTTATCCATGTTTTCATAATACTAAAGGAGCTTCACCTTTTCATGAAGTAGTTAGTCTTTGCAGAGTAGGATTTTGGAGGGAACGAGAAGGACATGCGAACATGTGCACATGTTTGATCAACATGATTTTATAGCCATGAGTTTAAAGAAAATCTTTCATCTTTGTTTTCATATGATTGGAAACATCATGTCTTTTTCAAGAATTAGACACCAAAAATGACACATACCTTATCAGGTTCCCTGGGAAGTTTTCAGATTCTAGAACATATATGTTAACTTTTTAATACATAAAGGGATAGGAAATATTCCAGTGCTATTAAAAGGCCAATGTAAAGGTAAAATAAAGTTTCTTTACTCAGGATAACCTCTTTCCTTTCAGTTTCTCAAAATCTGGAAGCTACACTCACTCACTGCCCTTGAGAATTGACAGACACAGGAAAGTTAGCTTTTTCTGTAAGGGAGAAAACGAGTGAGCAGGGGAATGAGAGCTCCCTGATGTCTGCCATCTTGCCCCTTCCATCTAAACAGATCCCTTGGGGGAGCACATGACAGTGATAACTCTGTTCTCTGAGGGGGAAGGGAAAGTGAGCTGAAATGCTCTTCTGGCTTTTCACAGAGTGAGGTTACATCTTCCCTCACAAGACAAAACATACACACACAGTGTATATGTGCACACTAGCTATTCCAGTGTAAAAACATATTGAATACGAGGCTCTTTTATATTACTGTGCGGTCAACTAGGTGAACTAGTCATCCACAGGTGTGGGGGGGAGGGGCTGAAAGTATAGTGCTCACCTCACTTAACTACCACTACAAGTGGTATGTCTCCACTTTGGATTTTACAGAAAAATAACTATCAGACATTAGTTATATCTTTCTGCCAGCAAAAGACAAAGCCTGAAAGGAAAACAGAAATCCCTTCCCAAAAGCCAGTAGCAGGAAAATGAATATTTACACCACACATATGTACATGGGTTTATGCATTTTTGTGCATTCATCCTGAAATGCCTGCAAGAAGGAGTGAACTCTAACTGGCAAGAAAAGGGAATCTGAAAACTGGAGAAACAGTTATTTTCATGCAAAATGTTAACAGGATTTTTTAAAAACATTTGTACAAATTTCAAAGTACAGCATTCTGCCTGAAGAGAAACATTTCTTTTGGGAAAAAACTTGTAATAAGAAATATTCAAAATGTGCACTGAGAAGCTTGGTTGTAGAGGATACTATTATTTAAGATACCTATGTGTGAATAAGAATTTTATCCTTCACAGCCCAGCCTCTCCGCTCCTTTTGGTCCTACTGTGAAATCTGAATCTAGTGTTTATTACAACAGGTGTTTTTCAGTAGAAATTACAGTAATGTGGCAAATTGATCATTATGGCTCAAAGGGTGGATCAAGGAAGAGTAAGAGATGAGCTGTAAAGGAAACGGCTCTCTTTTCAACACAAATAGGGAGGGGTGTGATAGCAGGGATATTTATACACAAATAGATGACCACTAGTTTACATCAGAAGAGAAAAAAGCATGAGACTGGTAAATGTCTTTCCTTTACAAAAATGCGCTCATCAGCCTCTGAATTAGGAAAACTGTGACATCAAACTGTGACATCAAACTCCATAAATTATTTCAAGATTATATAATCGGGCCCATGTTCAGACAGGCTGCCATCTTGGATCCTATGGCTCAACCTCTGCCCTTGCATATGTGCACATAATTCCCATTGTCTTCATCTAACTCTGCATGCTCATAACTGAAGGCACAGTACAGCAATGTATATACTGGGACTATATGACTCTTATCAAACCCTGTTCATTCTGTCCATGCTCTACTATAGCAATTGTTTCATTTTTTTTCTGGCAAGAATGTCCCACTTTGACTCAATCACTGGTCAGTTATCCAGACCTTCCACAGAGATGTGCACAGGATGGTCAGACCATCTTGCATTGGAACTTTGAGTCACTCCTTTCTATAAAGATGAAATAACCAACCCAATCATGGTTTAATGTCAATTAAACTATTACATTTTATAAGACTTTCCATATGGCACGCTACATTGATTTTTGTGTGTGTTCCTCACCTCAAATATTTTAGATAGATGAATATGGTAAGTTAGATCTTTTTCAGACTCTCAAGTGCACTGCATTTTATTTATAACCTCAGAGAAAGAAACAAGATGGATGTTTACAATATGGGTACGTCTAAACTACATGGCTCCGTCGACGGAGCCATGTAGTTTAGACGTACCCATATTGTAAACATCCATCTTGTTTCTTTCTCTGAGGTTATAAATAAAATGCAGTGCACTTGAGAGTCTGAAAAAGATCTAACTTACCATATTCATCTATCTAAAATATTTGAGGTGAGGAACACACACAAAAATCAATGTAGCGTGCCATATGGAAAGTCTTATAAAATGTAATAGTTTAATTGACATTAAACCAAGTACCTACAGAATTTAGCAGCAGATAATTATATGCTTTCTATATCTCTTTTGAAACATCCTTTAAAATACTATAGGATGTTAAAAAGTGTACATAAATGCTATGATATACTATTGAATTCTACAGGATTTTTAAATAGGACAGTGTACTACTACACTTCATGTCACCTGATGCCTCTGCACTGTCAATTCTCATTATGTTGGCTTATTGTTAAATGGTATCTTCAGTCAGGGTTTCAGGGTTTGTCTCTGATGAGTTCCTGACAGGTCCTCTACTCCGTCAATTATGATAAACTTTTGGCTGCATCTGTGTGTGCTCCCCGTCTAACGCATTAACCCTGTGCATGTGAGTCAACACAACAGACGCCCAGAGAGCCCCCAGAGACCACAAATCAGATAAGGATCAAAATCACCCGAGCAGATTTATTGCTAAATGACATACCTAAACAGTTCTTAGCAGACAGACTCAGTGCTAAGCCACTGCGCATTCTGTAAGCCTTGGCAATGTACCAACACATAAAAGTGCACATAGCACCCCCCATGTCAGTCGGCAATCACCCTTTGCGGTGCCCTTTTATAGACATGTACAAACAAGTTACATCACTTCTTACGTATCAGGTTGCCATCCTCTGTTACCCAACTACCACCCCTCACCTCACAGAAGGGGGGGGGGGTCTACTTACTATCCTTCATGCTGTCAACTTTGACCTGGTCCTGAACCTAGGTCAGTATGTACATTAGTTTTTGGGGAGTCGGTTGAGACGTTCTGCTACTCCCCTCTGGCTCACAGCTCATCCTAATCCCAGAGCCTCTCTGTGTTCTTCCATGCTCGACTTAATTTACACAATCCTACAGTTATCAGTAGGCCATTTTCTCAGCTGCCGTGTTACTGAACCAAAGTCTTGCTCACTAGATTCCAGGCCTGTTGCTGTTTTTACGTTATAGGCCTTTATTTAGGCCTGCTGACTCTATGTTACCGACCCTCAACTTACTACAAATGATTTCTTCAAACCTACACTGACTCTGAGTATTTTATGGTCAATAAAATGCTGAAGATAAAGACACTTCCATGTTACAAAACAGATAATAGTTTTCCTGATGGAATAGTAACAATAGCTAGTCTTAAAAATCAGCCTAGCCAGTGTCAGGCAATAGTTATGTAACTGTATTTGGCGCTCAGACATAAATTTAGAGTCTGCAACACAGCAGCCACTTGGAACCACCCCAGCAGCAGAGAAGGTGCAAAATCTGGTTAAATCTCACCAGCTGATAGTTTGGCCTTTTGGGGAGTCCTTGGCTGATGTAAGGCCAGCATAAGTAGCTGCACCTCTCTCTCCTGGCCTGAACATAAGGGGCATGTGAAGGACCATGGCTGGAATGCTACTGAGCTCCAGCTGACTGATGACACTTTCGGGACGGGTCTCTGTTTTAATGGTTTCAACCAGCCTTAATAGTATTCTAAACTATGCTGGGGCTAGGGCCAGTGTATCACTAGCTAAAGAAATAGGGAGTCTCTGTGGCACCACTATATTGTGCCTAATGGACACTGGGCTGGAGTTTCTAAGATGCTACTATAGTAAATGAAAATTCGGTAAAGTAGACAGACTCAAGAGAACACTGAATTTAAAGCAACTGTCCAGCTAACAAACTATCCAATTTAGTGTATATAATAATGAGAATCTGATTTTATACTGATGCAGAACTATGTTTTCCACACAACAGGTACAAGTTCTGGGTTGACACCTGTTCTGAAATGTTTGGGGGTTTGGATATCTGTGCTGTGAAAGCTGTACATGGCAAAGATGGAAAGGATTATATTTTTGAGGTAAGACATGACATATTTGTCAGTACACGCATTTTCATGTTAAGAGTCCTGAGTAAAATCACTTTACGTATGATTTAGGCATCCAACGCAAGTTATTTGCATTCCGAAGGCTAGAGTGTATTTAACAATGAATCATAATGCAGGACTGCATATCTAAGTTATGGTCACCCTTCTTTTCATAGTGATATCTGAGTTTCTGGCCCTGATTTCAGCATCTCAGGACAGTCTGCCCTAAGTTCCCAGTTCCGTTTTATTCAAACTACCCAAAGTCAAAAACAAAAGCAAGCAACCAAAATACACTGGCATCCAAAGAGAGGTTCTGATTTTGTCCTCTCCTGGATCATGGTATCCATTTCTAAATAAAAGCAAAGATTTCGTTCTTTGGTGTTCTGCCTGTGAGATTCCAAAAGAAGAAAATATATCAAGCTGTTTTGTCATTGTCAAGTGCTAAGCACCCACAAGTCCCACTGACATCAGAAGTTTGGAAGATCAAACTTAGTGTTGTACTCTTCAAAAATTAGAGTTAATCAGTAGTAGCTCCCTCACCTCTGGAAGAATATGAAATGTGGAGCTCCTGTTTCCTCAGATAATCTGCGTGGCTACATCAAAACAACTATGTATGCATCCAGCAGGAGGAGAGAGACTTTCTATTGTAACACCTCTATCTTCACTTCATATTCTGCAACTCTCTCCTAAATAGTCCCACTTTAGTTGAACTCTGTCATATTGTTTTCAGTACTAATTTCAATGTGTGTGAAACTGGTTAAGCTGGCTAACTGTAAATATGTGGGAATATGTTTTCCCTTTTTTAAAAAAATCCCTTTTTGGTTTTCTGCTAATTCAAAATAGAGTATAGTGCTTGGATGCACTATTTAACATGGATTTATGGCATAATCCTGCAAGGTTTGAGCGATAGTAAGGAAATCATGCCTTACTAGTCTACTAGAATTCTTTGAGGGCATCAACAAGCATGTAGACAAGGATATAGAGTACTTAGATTTCCAGAAAGTCTTTGACAAGAGCCTATACAAAGGCTCTCAAGTATAGTAAGTTGTCATGGGATAAGAGGAAAGGTCCTCTCGTGGACAGATAACTGGTTAAAAGACAGGAACCAAAGGTTAGGAATTAATGGTCAGTTTTCAGAATGGAAAGAGGTAACTAGTGGTGTCCTGCAGGTGTCTATACTGTGACTAGTTCTGTTCAACATATTAATAATTAATTTGGAGAAAGAGGTAAACAGTGAGTTGGCAACATTTATAGATGATATTAAACTGCTCAAAATAGTTAAGACCAAAGCAGATTGTGAAGAGCTTCAAAAGGATTTCACAAAACTAGGTGGCTACGTCTAGACTGGCATGATTTTCCAGAAATGCTTTTAATGGAAAAGTTTTCAGTTAAAAGCATTTTTGGAAAAAAGCATCTAGACTGGCACAGATGCTTTTCCGCAAAAGCACTTTTTGCGGAAAAGCGTCCGTGCCAATCTAGACACACTTTTCCTCAAAAAAGCCCCAATCGCCATTTTCGCGATCGGGGCTTTTTTGAGGAAAACAAATCTCCGCTGTCTACACTGGCCCTTTTGCACAAAAGATTTGTGCAAAAGAGACTTTTGCCCAAACGGGAGCAGCATAGTATTTCCGCAAAAAGCACTGATTTCTTACAGTAGGAAGTCAGTGCTTTTGCGGAAAATCAAGCGGCCAGTGTAGACGGCTGGCAAGTTTTTTCTGGAAAAGCGGCTGATTTTCCAGAAAAACT